CGGTGGGTTATGATTGGTTGCTTTTGGACCAATCATGAGGTGCCAGATATGCAAATTTGAGGGATTCTAGTGGCCAATCAGAGCAAGGTTTCGAAGGTCAGGTTTTTGGAAGGGAACCAATCATGGTAATTGTTTGCTCTCTGAGAAACCTCGGCAGACTCGCTGGTGTGCAGCTTCCCACAGCACGCACACACACGCACACGCAGAGTGCGCACTTGTAGAAATTCCAACCCCTCTGTTACGAGACAGCTCTGACGTGGTGTGGGATGACAATACAGAGGACTTCTCCACCAAGGGAACAGGGAGAGCTGCCTCCATTTTCTCTTCTGGACACCAGGGTTAATACATTCTCAGGGAATATATAGAGAGAGAAAGAGAAAGAAAGAGAGCGAGAGTCTGAGTTCACTGCCCTGTGGTACATAGAGGCATGCCTCGCAGATGACCCTTTGAGTAGGAACTTGCTGCTCACTATAGCGAGCTGCTAGGTAACACCTCTCAGCCGTTCCCTCAGTCTGCTTTAGCTCCTGAGCCAGTTTGGCACAGTTCCAGCCGACGAGCCAGCAAGGTGAGGACAGCTGAGGTGTTGCTCTTCCTAGGCAGCTGGGCCATTTCAGTCCAGTGCAGGACCCTTCTACCAGGTGATCTTTGCTCCAGAGCTCCCCAGTGGGTTGCCAGAGATGTCACCAGGTTTGCATCACGGTCTGGCAGCTCCTCTTTCCCAATGCTTTTCCTTTCACAAGTCTTCATCTGCCCCCGCCCCCCCCCAAATCTTTTGCTCTTCTAAATCCATCTCAAGGCCCAACCAGGGGTATGGTGGTTAGGGTAGTTGGATCCCACACGGCCAACTGTGTGGTTTGAGTCCTGACTCCAGTGGCTTGAAAATCAAGCTGGTGCATGAGTGCCCAAAGTCTGCTGTCCAAAGTCAGAACCCTAGGTAGGAAAGCCCAGGACTTGGAACCACGGAGCAGATAACTCTGAAGGTTTTGACCCTGAATCTTTTGAACCTACAGAAATTCCTACCCCTCCCTGTCAGGAGACAGCTTTGGCCCAGTGTGGGATGATGATGCAGAGGACTTTTCCACAAGGGAACAGGGAGAACTGTCTCCATTTCCTCTTCTGGCCACCAGGGTTAAGGTGCAGGAGGCCCATAATATCCATTTGTACCATTGCTCATGAAAATAACTTTGATTACTCGGTTAAGGTGGCATTTCCCAGATTTCTTCACTATAGATTTAGTATATTTCCCTCTGTAAACATTAAGTCACTGGGCCAGCCAGTGGTGGGATGGTTAGAGTTGCTGGATCCCAAATGGCTAACTATGCAGTTCAAGTCCTGGACCTGGTGGCTTGGAAAAAAAAAAAAACCAGACACATATGCCCAAAATTCTATTCTAAGAAGGGAATGAAGAAGGGATTGTGGTGAGGCCAACCTCCCTGGGGAGTGCCTTCTCACTTTCCCTCTCTCTCTCTCTCTCTCTCTCTCTCTGTCTGTCTCTCTCTAGTGAGCTTGCATGCCCCATAGTAAAACTAAAAAAAAAAAAAAAAAAAGTCCCCTGTGGACAGGTACTTTGAGAGTAGATGTTCTATTCTCCATCAAACTTTCTTTTTTAAAAAAATTTTATTTATTTCATTTTATTTGTTATTATTATTATTATTATAAATTTGACCTGTGCATTAGGGATTGGTGGAAACATTTCCCAAACCCAAGTTTCCTGATGTCAGCCGAGGGTCAATCTTGCAGGCAGAGCCTTCTAAAGACAGAAGCTTCAAGCCTGCTACCGGGGTTCTTCCGCAGTTCTCCATTCAGTTCCTTGAGAACCTACTCGCACTCCCAAATCATTTAGTTACTGTTTTGAAATATGTGGAACCTCCTTGTTTATCTTTCTGACTCTGAGCAGCCCCACCCTCTCTCTCTCAACAAAAGGATATGATCTGGAAGCCATCTGAATCAATAGCTTGGGTGTGATAACATTGTTTATTTATTTTTCTTTTTTTTAAGGAGGGATCTTACTGGATCCTCCTTCCTCATCCTGCCAAACAGGTGGGACTACACCATGCCTATCTTTGAAGGTGGGCCAGAAAATAAAAAAGGGCCTTCCCTGTGGCCCTGCCTCCTGAGTAGCAGCATCTTGGCAGTGCGCTACTGCAGCCGACATCTTCAAAGGGATGTTTGTAGTGAGGTTGCCTTGCATCGTCTCAGAAATGTTGTATGGGGGATGAGCAGTTAGTGTAATGGCTATGTCGCTGGACTCCCATGGAGCCACGGTTTGAGTCCCGGACCTGGTGGCTTAAACTCACACCCGGCGCGTGTGCGTGCGTGCCCAAGATCCCGAGAGGAGAATGGAGGAGAAGGGATTGCGGTGTGGCCATCCCCCCTGAGGGGTGATTTCTCGCTTTCTGTCTCTCTGTCTCTCTCTCTGTCTTTCTGGCGAGTGCACACGCCCTATAGCAAAAAACTCTCGGGAAAAAAAAAAAAAGAAAGAAAGAAAAGAAAAGAAAAGAAAAGAAAAGAAAAGAAAAGAAAAGAAAAGAAAGAAAAGAAAGAAAAGAGAAAAAAGAAAAAAGAAAAAGAAAAAGAAAAAAAGAAATGTATGGAACTTTTGAGAAATGCTCTGAGTGCCAGGAGCACAAAGCGTTAGCTTTTCCCACTCTGCAAAATGACAAGTGTCCGGAGTCTGGTTATTTTAGACTACAGACCACAAGTTTAGACAAATCCCTTAGCAGAGATCCAGTTCCTCCCACCTTTGCTTACCAACTGGCTGATTCTTGCTTGAGTTCTTCTCTCGTAGGACACTGCAGAAAGCAAAGAGGAGCAATGTGATGGTTAACTTGCGTGTCACCTTTCCTGGGCTCTGAGATACCCAGATAGTTGGTACATTATTTCTGGTGATTCCAGAAGAGATTATTAGCATTTAAATCACTAGACGGAATGAAGATCACCCTCACCAATGTGAGTGGGCATTATCCAGTCCTCAAAAGGCCTGAATACAATAAAAAGCAAAGGAAGGACAGGTCCATTCCGTCTGTTTGAATGGGGACATCCATTGTCTCCTGCCCTCAGACACTGGCAGTCCTGGTTGTCAAACCTTCAGACTCAGACTTATACCACTGCCCTACCCCACCCCACAGTTCTCAGGCCTTCGGACTCCCACTGGAATTGACACCATTGGCTAGCCTGGTTCTCTGCAGACAGTGGATCGTGGGACTTCTTGGACTTCATAACTGCATGAGCACAGCACGCACACGCACACATGCATGCAAACACACACGCACACACATCTTCCACACCTGTGGGTTCTGTATTTGCAGATTCAACCCACCACGGATGTAGTCAGCCCCCACCAATTGTTACCAAATAGGAGAGGAGATGATCCTCTGAAAGAAAAATGCTGAAGAAGTTTATGTATTTTTCTTTTCATTTATATCTGATGGTAAGATCACTTAAAAGTCATTTAGAGATGAAGTGCATGGGTTATATACAAAACCTACACCATTTTATACAAGGGAGGGATTTGAGCATCCATGGATTTGGTATCCGCAGGGCTCCTAGAATCAATCCTCTGGGACCAGCTGATGGCATAATGGTTACATTGCTAGACTCCCATGAAGTTATCTGCAGAGTCCTGGACCTGATGGCTTAAAACTCATTTCGAGGGACCAGCAGATGGCATGATGGTTATGTTGCTGGATGCCCATGCAGTCGACCACTTGTTCGAGTCCTAGACTCAGTGGCTTAAAACTCACACTGGGGGGACCAGCAGTTAGCGTAATGGCTATGTTGCTGGACTCCCATGTAGTCGACCGCGGTTTGCATCCCAGACCCGGCGGCTTAAAACTCACGCCGGGTGCATGCACATGCGTGCCCAAGATCCCGAGAGGAGAATGGAAGAGAAGGGATTGTGGTGTGGCCATCCCCCCTGGGGAGTGATTTCTCACTTTCTGTCTCTCTGTCTCTCTCTGTCTGTCTGGCAAGCGCACGCGCCCTATAGCAAAAATAATAATAATAAACCTCACACTGGGCACATGTGTGTGTATGCCCAAAATCCCTAGAGGAGAATGGAAGAAAAGGGATTGCGACGTGGCCATCTCCCCGAGGGGTGATTTCTTGCTTTCTGTCTCTCTGTCTCTTCTATGCGCACAACACCCTATAGCAAAACTCTCTCTTAAAAAAAAATAGAGGGGCCAGCAGGTGGCATGGTGGTTAAGGGCACTGGACTCACATGGCTGACCACAGTCTGAGTCCCGAACCTGGCAGCTTGCGTTCTCACTTTCCTTCTCTCTCTCGCTCACTCTGTACCTCTCTGGTCAAATTTAAATAAACAAAGTTAAATAAAATAATTCTTTTTAAAAAAGTAGAAAGAACAGATCCCCTAAGGACATTGAGGAATAGCTTGCGCTCTCTCTCTCTCTCTCTCTCTCTTTCTCACACACACACACACACACACACACACACACACACACTGTTTCTCTTGACAACACAAACACTATGCACACCAGCAGTCTGAGTTCTTCCAGCCAGTGCCCTTGAGCTAAGATGACCAATGGTCTACTAACCTGTTTATGAAAGAAGACGGTTCTGGGACCAGCAGTTAGCATAATGGCTATGTCGCTGGACTCCCACATAGTCGACCGCGGTTCGCGTCCCAGACCTGGTGGCTTAAAACTCACGACGGGCACGTGTATGTGCGTGCCCAAGATCCCGAGAGGAGAATGGAGGAGAAAGGATTGCGGCATGGCCATCCCTCCTGGGAGGTGATTTCTTGGTTTCTGTCTCTCTGTCTCCCTCTGTCTGTCTGGCGAGTGCATGCGCCCTATAGCAAAAACCTCTTAAAAAAAAAAAAAAAGACGGTTCTGTGTAATGTGTTTTTGCTGTTGTTGTTTTGTTTGTTTTTCTGAATCTGGCAGGCTAGAAGGAAAGATGGTGGTGAGACACTGTTTAAGGTACCCATTGGGTCGTTGGAAAAGTCATGACGCAATTTTGCATAGAAAAATACATCATGGGGACCAGCAGATGGCGTAATGGTTATGTCATTGAACTCCCACATATTCAACCCCAGTTTGAGTCCCAGACCTGGCGGCTTCAGACTCATGCCAGGCACATGTGCATGTGTGTCCAAAATCCCAAGAGGAGACTAAAGGAGAAGGGATTGCAGCGTGGCCATCCCCCAGGACAGTGATTTCTTGCTTTTCATCTCTCTCTGTCTCTCTGGCAAGTTCATGTGCCCTATAGCAAAAATCTTGCTCTTAAAAAAAGAAAAAATAGAAGGAAAGAAAAAACATGTCATGACTTTACCAACAACCTAATATCCTTCTCTCTCTTTCTCTTTCAAGAAATAAAGTTAAAAAAGAAAAGGAAAGGGGGACCAGCAGTTGGCATAATGGCTATGTCGCTGGACTCACGCCTGGCGCATGTGCATGAGTGTCCAAGATCTTGTGAGGAGAATGGAAGAGAAGGGATTGCGGTGTGGCCATCCCCCCCCCGGGGGCCTCTGGGGGGTGATTTCTCGCTTTCTGTCTCTCTGTGTCTGTCTGGCGAGTGCACGTGCCCTATAGCAAAAACCTCCCCAAAAAAAAGAAAAAAAAAAAAAAAGAAAGAAAAGGGGCCAGCTCTGTGGCCTGTGGCCTGGTTGGTTATGGACCTGGTGGTTTGAGAAATGTGCCAGGTATGTGTATATGTGTGCCCAAAATCCCCAAAGGAGGGAGAGATGGAGGAGAAGGGATTGCAGCGTGACCATTCCCCATGGGGTGCTTCCTCCTCTCCCCCTCCATCTGTCTCTCTGGTGAGTACATGCATGCTGTAGCAAAGAAAAAAAAAAAAAAAAAGGAGAA